AGTGAATAAAATCACCCAAGCCACTTTGCCTTTCTGATAAGCAAACACTGAAATTTCTGAGCATCAGGACTAACATTTCCTTTGTATTAAGTAGAGTTAGTTTTCAGTTATCTATAAGGTCAATCACATTGTGATTTTTTTTTGAGTGTTAAAGTTTTGTTTCAGAATCCACATCCTTCCTAGTCTCCTTTGAAAGATGTGGTTTATATCACTTAAAGAAAGCAATTTCACTTGGGCCGGTGCTATTTAGTTGGGGAGGGAGATTCTTCACACCTTGAAAGTAGCCAACTTTTCACATCTTAGTAGAAGGTTATAGAGCACTGATTTTATAACCTAGTATCCTAATAAGGAACCATGAAAAAACATACAAAAAAGAAGAACAAAATACCTTTACCCAGGAACAGGGCCTAAAATAGTCTCCTTTGTAGACTCTAAATACAGTTAAGGCCTCTCATCTGGTGTGGCCCTAAGTGGTAGTTTAGGTCAGTTTATTTTAAAAGTTGGTAAAGCAAAATATATTCAGTGCTTTTTATTTTAACTTAAAACATGTAAATGTACATTTGTTCACCAATCTTTTGACTTAGTAACATTTGCTCAGTATCTCAGGAAGCCACTCAAGTCTTTTGTAAAGTAGTTTTTCTATGCACCATAGGTATTCCCTGGACTCATTGAGACTGAAGGATCCCTGCTTTATATTAAGAGCACTTAATGTATTGCTGAACTATTCATCTTTGGGTTTGAAAAATAAATTTCATTGAGGTGTGACCAAAGTGTACAGATTGCCATTGTTCCTATATACATATCTGAAATGACCAAAGCAAGAAACTCAGTTTTTATTACTTCAGATATCTTTGATTCTTCGTCTATATTTTATACCGTATTTAAATTTGCTACCTGTCCAGCAAATCTTTTCTTCCAGAATGATGCAGGGAAATGATGAATCAGAATAATAATTCTGTCCTAATTCCTAAGATTGTATGTTGGAAAAAAAAAAAAAAAAAAAAAAAAAAAAAGAATAAAAATAAAGACGTAAAATAAATTTTAATAATGTATTTTATTTAATACAGTATATCAAGAAATTTACCATTTCAACATTTAATCAATATAGACGCTTAATGAGATATTTTATCTCTTCTTCATACTAAGCCTTTGAACACTGTGTATTTTATACTTACTAGCACATTTCAAGTGCTCAGTAGCAAATGGTTATATTAGTGCAGATTTAAATGTTGTCTTCTTGTTCTCCCAAGATTTCTTACATTCATTCTTCGTTCTAATTACTGTTTATTCCTACTGCAGCAGTCCTCAACATGTGGTCCTCAGCATCCTTTTAGATGTCCATGAGGTCAAAACTACCTTTGTAACGATACTGGGATATTATTTGTGTTGTCTTGTTCTCTCTCATTCTCTCGAGTGTACGGTGTAGTTTTCTGTGTGACACATGATATTGCAACAAATTGAATGCAGAAACAGATATAAAAATAGATTTGCAAAATGTAAACCATGCCACTCTTCTCACTGATTTTTGTTTGGGAAAATAGTTAATTGTCCAGAAATGGGTTTATTCTATTTTAAAAGGAATTGTACATACATACAATAATTTTTAAGAATGCAGAGAGGTCCTGAAACTAGAAAATTTGAGAACCACTATGCTAGTGTATGTAGAATTTCCTTTGTATTATTACCATTAATGCTTTTTATTTGGTATTACTGATGACAGATATTCTACATAAGTGAATTTTCCAACTAGCCAAGTGTTGTTGGACATTTTAGAATACCCAGTCATTTATTGTCTGGAACATTTTCTGAAATAACATTATGTACACCTCTTCTCAAATAGAAGATACTGAACATAATTTAACATATCCTGGTGACTGGATCCCCTATGACAACTTTGCACAGCCAACTAAACCAAAGAGCTCTATGGAGAATCCATCTACCTGTGCATTTGTGTGTGTTGTCTCTATAGTAAATAAAACTTCTGCCAGTCTCACTTATCTAATAGCTAGAATGCAACATTAATTTTTACTTGATATTTAAAATGCTGGCATTTCCAGCTGGTTGCAAAGCTAGTAGTTTAAAATATGTTGTGAATAATGAATTTTGTAAACATTACAAAATAATGAATTTTGTAAACAGTTAAAAAAATTTTCCTTCAGATACTCTAATATAGTGAGATATTATGACTTTAAAAAGTGTTTCATGATGGAACAGAGCCAGCAATTATTCTTTTATCAAAGATTGGTTTAGGGACTTCCCTGGCGTGCATTGGTTAGGACTCCATGGCTTCCACTGCAGGGGGCAGTTATAACAAGGAATGATATACTTTTTCAAATGTATAGGCTATTTTAATTTTATTTTTCTAATTAGCTAGGTCTGTGAACTTGAGCATATTGTTTTAATTTACCAAGATTATGCAAATTATGTAATTTACAAAGAATTTTATAGAAAAGTATTGCATATCACTATTTTATTAATCTCTTTCTCCAATTTTCTCTGTCCTCCTTGGGAATCTACATTATAAATCTGTTAGAGATTAGAACTGATAGTTGTTAAATGGCTTTATTGATTGAATCAGTTACTTGTGGGTTTTTTAAAAAATTATTTGAAGATTCCACAAGTGAACCAAGCAATGTTCTTTGGGATCTCCTTTTATTAAGAAGGAGTAGAGGAAGGGGGAGAAAAATACAATAAAATATTGAGTCTTTCCCAGATTGCTAGAATATCAAAGATTTTCCTAAAGTACAGTTAGTTTTTCTGCTTATGTTAATTTCCTCTGGTTAGGTTAGTTGCTCCTGAAGCTATTATATTTCATTCAGCATATATCTATAAAGGTAGAGAAGATAACATCAACCACAAGAGCTGTGAAAACAGGCTGACATATGTAACATACTTCCTATTGCATGATAAATCCTTAATAAGTGATAGCTACTGTAGTGAGAAACTCTGAGCTATAGTGGTTTAAGAATACAGACATTAAGGTTATTCAGACTAGAGTTTGAATTCCCACTTCCCAGCTCTGTGAACTTCGGCATGGTACTTCAGTTTCTTCATTTGTAAAATAAAGTGTAAATATGCAACTCATAGGAATGTTGTATTAAAGCACCTAATATAATAGTAGGCATATACCTAGCACTCAATACATGACTTGTTTTAGTGTGTTATTATCATAGGAGTAACCATTTGTGAAACACTCAGCGTGTCATATGTTCTGTACAAGACCCTAGATGACATTGTCTGTGATTCTGAAACTTCAGATTCCTATCCTACATCTGTTAGAAGATGACTTTATTTCAGTTGGGCAATATGTTTAACTTTTTTTAGGCTGGATCATGTAGCCTAATCCTAACACAGAAATATTGATTCAGACTTCACTGAGCCTAAATCTAGCCAAAAAGCAAGCAAAAACAAATAAAACAAACAAACAAACAAAGAAACCCAAATTCTTTGAGCAGCCAAAGGTGTCACACACACAAAATCACATATGTACTTTCCTTATGGAAGCATTCCTCAAGTTCTCATTTAGTGCCCCTCACGTCTCTGTTGCTTTGTTAGCTGAATGACTTTAGGTGAGTCTCAATTCCATTTTCCTCATCTATGAAATAAAGGAGTTAAATAACTAATTTCTAGAAATCTCAAGTCCAGAAACTTTTAAATTCTATGTGTATAGTATCTGAATTTTTTTTCTGGGTTATTTTTCTATACTAATCTCTTAAAAAGAAAAACAATAAATTTACTCTGAAGTGTAGGATCTATGCCCAGGATTCCCTGGGCGTCAAGCTCTGTGATGAATAAGGAATTTCTAGCCCAGCATGAAGGACCAGTATGAGAACAATTATAATTTCAGTGGAATAATTTAAGTAAATCACAAGTATAAATAAGAGTGATTGATTTTTGTGGAAATGGTGACCACCAGAAAAAGCTTTGCAGAGAAGTTACGATAGAATGGGTTAGGCTGCATTTACAAGGTAGTCCCAAGTTTCAGTGTTTGAAAATTGTAAAGGTGCATTTATTGCTGATGGTATAATCTAATGTTGGTCAGCAGTGACTCTGCCTCACATAGTGATTCGGGGACCCAAGCCAGCGAATGCTCTAGCATCTCAGCTTGTAGCCTCTGGGATTATTACAGTGGAAGAAAAGAGAGAGGAACTGGAGATTGGCCCACCAGCCTTAAATGCATTAGTACTTTCTGGTCCCAAAATGGCAGGCATCACTTCTGCTTCTGGCCTGTTAGAATTAATCAGATGGCTCCATTTAGCTGTAAGAGAGTGGGCGATGTGGGAAAGTGAATATTTGGTGAGTGTAAATGTTTTTGCAACATGGCATCTGAGTTGATTCTAAAAAGCTAAGTGGAAATCAGTCTGGTAAATGAGGAAGGAGGAAATGAAAAACTCTCTACTCTGAAAGCAAAGAATGCCTAGCCATATTTTTCTTAAGTTCCCTTACACCCAAAGTCCAATCTCGTGTTTAGAGAAATAAATGAACTCTAAAAGATTTATCTTTTGACCTGAGCTTTTGAAGTTGCATCAAGACAAGAAAACCTTTAATGAATCAACCTGCGAAGTATCATATGCATGTTAACTACTGAAAAAATATTTGTGGAGGTCACAAAAACAGTGTTACCTAAATACCAAGTTAAAATAGCAGATAACATGAATGGAACATGTACTGTGGGCAAGGAACTCTGCTCATTGTTTCACATGCATTATCTCAGTTCAACCTCACAGTAACTTTGTGAGGAAGGTACTGTTATTATCCCCATTTCCAAACTTTATCAACCTGTAAGCAGTTAGATGGCATGACTGTTTTCCTTTTATACTTAAAACAATTTGGTCCTGGAAAAGGTAAGTCAATAATATATACAGGTTTTATCTATCTATCTATCATGCATGTATCATCAGATTAAAATCTCTATTTTAAATGTTTATGATTTTTGCAGTAAAATAATTTAAATAGAGTGACTAGGAATTATGCTGCAAAGTTAACTTTTCTGTTTTTAGGGTTTGGACAGGGGATCCAAAGGCCAGATTTCTACTTTCAGCAGTTTTATTTCAACTGTTAACCAGAAGAAAGAAGCCGCTGAAAACAGAAGTTCACCTACACATCTTGTTTTCCCTAACATCAAGAATGGTAAGAAATTTTTAATTTTAAAAATTAATGTAGTTACAATTATTAAAAGTATATGTAGTATGTGTATCTTGGCGCAAGTATATTATTGAACTATTAAAAAGGAGATTTTAATTATTCAGTGTTGTTCTACTAGGTCTAGTTAGTTAATACAATAAAAAATAAGCTATAAATATTTACAGAAAGGAGCAAAATCATTATTTTTAGGTAATTGTTAACTAGAGTAAGAGAATGATATACAAAGCTCATGAATAAGAAAGTTCGGTTAGGGAGCCTGACACAATATAAACATACAAAAATTCAGTAGATTTCCTTTATTTAAGCAGTAATCAATCAGAAGAGTTGATGGAAAATATATGAAATATTTAGAAATAAACCAAGGAGAAAGTGAGCAAAACCTATACGAAGAAAAACTATGAAACTTTATCAAAAGACTAAAAGGTGGTTTGAATGGAAAAACTTAAATATCATAGAGATCTCAGATACACCCGATTTACTCTCTAACATTTAATGAATTTTTCAACAGTTTTTTGGGGGGAAACTTAAGAAAATGATGCTCTATTTGATTTATAAGAATAAATGAGAGGATGCAAGGAAAAGTAATGAGGGAACCCATTCCTTCATATTACTATATATTATAAAGCTGTACCAATGGTAGGGCTACCACCAAGGTAGCCAAATACATGGAGATGGATCAGTAAAGCATAGTGTATATAAATGATATTAAATTATTCAAAAGATGGAATTAGGCCAACTAGCCAACTTTTTGAAAATGGTAACTTTAGATTTTTTAAAACTACAAAAGTACTAGAAGAAAACACAGGAAATTGTTTTTATAATAAAATTCTTGGAATGATAGCAATGTGAACAGCCATAAAACAAAAAAATTGAAAAGTTTGAAGACATAAGAAAATTTTAAAGTTCTATAGGAATTTTAGAAGGTCATAAACAAAGTTAAAGTAAAATGTCATAGTCAGAGAAAACGAATCCTTGAATCATAGAGATCATTAATAAATCAGTAAAATGAACATTTCATTAGGAAAAAAAGACAAAGTGTATGAACAGACCAATCAAAAAAGGAAATATGAATAATTAATACACGTGAAAGGATACTCAGTCTCACTAGTATTAAAGGAAGTACAGATTAAAATGAGGAGTTAACATTTCCCTACTCAGTAGCAGAGAATGAAGGCATGTGTATCTGTGGGGTTGTCTAGGGAGTGTGAAAATGGGCACTTTTATGAGTAGAGGGCTTGGAAATTGATACAACTTTTCTGGAGAGCAAATTATTTGACATACATTCAATTTTTTAAATGTTCATATACTCGCTGACCCAGTGTTACATTTCTAGGAATTTATTCTAAGGAAATAACATATGTTGAAAGACCTATGGAAAGAATGTACATTGTTTATAATAGTGGTATTTGAAGCAATCTAAATGAATTGGTTGACTAAATTATGGTAATCCATATTGTAAATACCATGCTTTTATTAAGAGATGACAGGTATATAAATTTTCTAGGAGAAATACTTATAATACATTGTAAAATGAAAAATACAAGTTACACAGTAATAGGTAGAATATGACTCCAATTTTTTTAAGTGTGGGGAAACCTTTTATACTTCTTTGAGCAGAATAAAGAAGTATGGAAGGATGCCCACCAGCCTGTTAATGGTTTCCTTAGGAAAGTAGGATTGGGTGGATATTATTAATATGCTCTATTTCTTTATACAACTCTATATTGTTTTATCACAGGGAACATATACTACTTGCATAATTTTAAGTGCCCCTTGCCCTATAATGAAACAAAACAAATCTGCAAAGGTTTAAATGTCCCTCACACCTGGACAAAAAACAACAAACCTCAGAATGTTTAAGGACCTTGTTCCTGGTAAATTGCTGTGTCCATAAGCTGCACATGGCATAAATTATTCTTGCATGTATTTTCTGTTGACACTCCAAAGGATTGCTAGACCTATTCTACACTCTTGCAAGTTAGTATTTATATTGTCTCATTTATCAACCTTTGCCTTTGATCATTTCTTTCTTCTTTTATTTATTTATTTTTAGATTTTATTTATTTTTTTATACAGCAGGTTCTTATTAGTTATCTGTTATATACATATTAGTGTATATATGTCAACCCCAATCTCCCAGTTCATCCCACCCCCACCCCTGCCCCACTTTCCCCCCTTGGTGTCCATACATTTGTTCTCTACATCTGTGTCTCTATTTCTGCCTTGCAAACCAGTTCATCTGTACCATTTTTCTAGATTCCACATATATGCGTTAATGTACGATATTTGTTTTTCTCTTTTGGACTTACTTCACTCTGTATGACAGTCTCTTGGTCCATCCACGTCTCTACAAATGACCTAATTTTGTTTCTTTTAATGGCTGAGTAATATTCCATTATATATATGTACCACATCTTCTTTATCCATTCGTCTGTCAGTGGGCATTTAGGTTGCTTCCATGACCTGGCTATTGTAAATAGTGCTGCAGTGAACATTGGAGTGCATGTGTCTTTTTGAATTATGGTTTTCTCAAGGTATGTGCCCAGTGGTGGGATTGCTGTGTCATATGGTGATTCTATTTTTAGTTTTTAAGGAACCTCTATACTGTTCTCCATAATGGCTCTATCAATTTACATTCCCACCAGCAGTGCAAGAGGGTTCCCTTTTCTCCACACCCTCTCGAGCATTTGTTGTTCATAGATTTTCTGATGATGCCCATTCTAACCTGTGTGAGGTGATACCTCATTGTAGTTTTGATTTGCATTTCTCTACTAATTAGTGATGCTGAGCATCTCTTCATGTGCCTCTTGGCCATCTGTATATCTTCTTTGGAGAAATGTCTATTTAGGTCTCCTGCCCATTTTTTGACTGGGTTGTTGGTTTTTTTAATACTGAGCTGCATGAGCTGTTTGTATATTTTGGAGATTAATACTTTGTCCGTTGATTCGTTTGCAAATATTTTCTCCCATTCTGAGGGTTGTCTTTTTGTGTTGTTTATAGTTTCCTTTGCTGTGCAAAAGCTTTTAAGTTTCTTTAGATCCCATTTGTTTATTTTTGTTTTTATTTCCATTACTCTAGGAGATGGGTCAAAAATGATCTTGCTGTGATTTATGTCATGGAATGTTCTGCCTATGTTTTCCTCTAAGAGTTTTATAGTGTCTGGCCCTACATTTAGGTCTTTAATCCGTTTTGAGTTTATTTTTGGGTACGGTGTTAGGGAGTGTCCTAATTTCATTCTTTTACATGTAGCTGTCCAGTTTTCCCAGCACCACTTATTGAAGAGACTGTCTTTTCTCCATTGTATATTCTTGCCTCCTTTGTCATAGATTAGTTGACCATAGGTGTGTAGGTTTATCTCTGGGCTTTCTATCCTGTTCCATTGATAAACATTTCTGTTTTTGTGCCAGTACCATATTGTCTTGATTACTGTAGCTTTGTAGTATAGTCTGAAGTCAGGGAGTCTGATTACTCCAGGCCCATTTTTTTCCCTCAAGATTGCTTTGGCTATTCGGGGTCTTTCTTCTTTTATTTACATACACACACACAAGCATATTTCATTACCTCAGTCTTATTCTAAGGAGGCACCAGTGCCCGTATGTCACAGTCCTGCAACCCACAACAAAACAAACTTATAATTGTGATACCATTATACCATAAATAAATAAAGTGAGCCTGTTTGATTGGGGAGATGAGTTCTATTTTAGACATTAACTAGATACTAACTGTAACCTTTATTTGTATAATATTTACAATTTAGGAAAACCTTTCATGTAATTTTCTTTGAGCAATCACATAAAATAGAATAGGTATTAGAATCGTTGCCGTATAGTTTTCTGTTGCTGCCTAACGAATTATCACAAACCTAATGTCTTAAAAACAACACCATTTATTAGCTCACAGCTCTTTAAGTCAGAGGTCTTGGTGGGTGTGGCTAGGTTTTCTACTTGGGGGTCTCTCAAGGTGGAAGCTGGGCTGGACTCTGGGGAAGAATCCTCCTCCGAGGTCTTCAGGTTGCTGGCGGAACTCACTGTTTGCAGTTGAGGCTGAGGTCCCGTCTCCTCGCTGACTGTCAGCCAGGGATGCTCTCAGCTTCCAGGGACCCTCATCAGTTGCCGCGGGCTGCTCCCAGGCCCTTTGGCTGTATCCCAGCTTACTGTCTCAGGGCTGGCAGCAGGATCCCTTGTGTCGAATCCCCTTAGTACTTTCAGTGCCTCTGCCTTTGCCTTCTGCAACCGGTGGGAGAAAGCTCTCTACTTATAAAGGCCTCACGTTAAAAGGTTTTGCCTACCTGGATAATCTCCCTATTTTAAGGTCAACCAGTTAGTAGCCTTAATTGGATCGGCACAACCCCTTTTGTCATGTTATGCAAGGTGATCAGGATGGAACACCAGGAGGCCGAGAATCGTCCAGCTATCTTAAAATTCTGCTTCTCACACCCATAAGAGAATTGGCTCAGACAGGGTAAGTGACTTGGCCACAGTCATGCTGCTAAGTGACAGAACCACAATTCAGTCCCACATTTTCTGACAACAGAACTCTTGTTCTGAGAGGCAGAGGAAACTCCTGATTGACTTGTTTCTCTTGCCTGATTAATCATATCACATTAATCACACAACTCTGATTACATCATCTCCATACTCCCTAGCTTCCAAAATTAAATAAAATTTTTTTACCTTGACACGCAAGGATATTCGTAATATGACAGCTTTTCAACTTTATCTCCCGTCTTTCTCCTACATACTTACATTTCAACTATTCTCCAGGATGCCTCACACCTTTTTACCACAGAGTTTTTGCAGTTTTTTCCCACTGCCTGGAACACTGTCTCCCCTCTTCTCTACCTGTCAGATCCTGTCTGTTCTTCAAAGCTACCTTTTTACTAAACCTTTACTGATTCTCCCTAACCAGATGTAATTCTTCCCTTCTTACAATTTAGGGGTTTTTTTCTCACCTCTTTTAGTCTCTCAACCTTGTGTAGTATCACT